ATCCTGCAGGTAAGCACGTGGCATGCCAGTGGTCCTAAGAATCTGTCCACACAGCTGAGGGCTGGTTAGACCACCCAGACTTGGGATCTTGGTGCTTAATGATCTCTTCAAAAGCCCCATGACAGAAACCCACAACCAATCAAAATGCAGATTGGTGCAGCCCAGTCCCAACCGATACATCTACGACCACGGCTTCCACACCGATGGCTCATTGCAGGAGAGGGGGTGGGATGATCATGAGAGCTGGAGGAACAGGGCGTTTGCTGGGAGATTGTGTCTCCTGGGAATGTCAGGACCTACATCCGTAAAGTCTCACCAATATGACAGCCTAAACATGAGCTGAACAAGGACAACAGTAGATATGCTAATGTGGATGGGGAAAAGTTCATGAGGCTTGAACCCCACATGAGAAACTACAGGCAACAAAGCAGGAGAAACAGTCTTCCCCAGGGAAGAGAACATCAACTGTCTATCCAATACCAAATGGTCAGCCCTGAAAACACACACATAGAAGTAACATTATACAGACCATGAGCAGGTTGCAGTTAGGTATTTAGGAATACATACATACATACATGCATACACACACACATCTCACATCACAACAATTAACAAAAGAAGAGGCCATGAATTTGAAAGAGTTAGGAGGAGTGTATGGCAGGGTTTGAAGGGAGGAAAGGAAGAGGGAAAATGGTTTGATTATATTAAAATCTCAAAAAATAAAATAAAAAGTAATTTTTAAAAGGCTGGACAGCAGGAGAACAACATGCCCAGGCAGAGGCTGAGTTGTCATCCGCGAGCCTGCACGGTGGTACAGGAGAGTGCCCGTCACTGGTGACCTGCCTTCTCCATCCACATCCTTTGATGTCTTTAATGTATGCCCCCAGCTGTTTTTATAGTGCCATGTAAACATGGCTTCAAAACAAGCTTCCCAGCCTACTCACCACCGTGCTATGCAAAAATCTGGAGCCTCCGCTGAGGCTAATGATTTGATAGGCCACGCCGACAGGCTTGATTGCATGATTGCCAACCTCCAGTGAAATCGTTTGGAATTACCCTGTAAAGCTGGACATCCCTGGATCTGTCCTAAGAATGTTGTAGGGAAGTATCACAATCTCAGCAGCTTTTTAAAAAGATCTATTTTTTTTGGCCAGGCAGTGGTAGCACACACCTTTAATCCCAGCACTCGGGAGTCAGAGGCAGGCAGATCTCTGTGAGTTCGAGGCCAGCCTGGGCTACCAAGCGAGTTCCAGGAAAGGCATAAAGCTACACAGAGAAACCCTGTCTTGAAAAACAAAAACCTATTTTTAATTATGTGCATGTGTTTGGGTATGTACACATGAGCGGAGTTGCCTGCAGAAACGAGAAGAGGATGTCGGGTCCCCGTTAGCTCGAGTTACAGGTGAAGCACCCAACATGGATGCCGGGAACCGTGTAAGAGCAGTACACTTGCTGAACTTTCTCTCCAGCCCTAGTCTTGGTGTCATAAAGCAGAAATATATTCCAACACCATTCTGGAGACCTGACCTCTTAAGCCAGCTTCCCTGGGCCAGGCCATAGGGTAGTGGTTCTTAACCTCTGGGTGGTGATATCCTGCATACCAGATATTTACATTGTGATTCGCAACAACAGTAGCAAACTCACAGTTATAAAATATTATGGTTGGAGCTCACCACAACATGAAGAACTGTAGGAAAGGGTCACAGCATTAGGAAGGTTGAGACCCACTGCCATAGGAGATCTTGTGTTCTTTTCTTCAGCCCAGAGTCATGGCTCGAATGGCCTCCCACTACTGATTAAGCACAGTTAAGGGCCATCTGGATGATTCAGGCCAATCTCCCCTCTCAAGATCCTTCACCTAATTACACCTTCAAGGACTTTCTGTGTGAAGTAGCAGCCACACAGGCTTGGAGGATTAGGATGTGGACTTATGTGGATGAAGTTCCTTATAGGCCCGACAGAGCTGGCAAGCAATCCACTCACTCCCCTCAGTCGCTCTAGAAACACTCTTGCCTACATGCATAAACAGTAATGTTCATACGTACATTCTTCCAAACTGCGAGACAAACCAGGAAGCCACCCGGATTTATACTGACAGGTGAATGATTGAGTCTAGATCACACCTTCACAAACAGACGCTTATTCATCAGTCAAAATGGCTGATCGGCTGCAGCAGGAAGCAGAACAAAATATGCTTTCAACACAGTGATGAAGACGTAAATTCTTACTAGTGTGTATGATATGATACTGGTGTGTGAGGCATGTATCTTATAGCAGGTGGTGTAGGTTCCCTATTCCCACCTTGTTTGTGACAGAGTCTCTTGCTGTTCACTGCTGTACACGCCAGGCCAGCAGGTCCTTGAGCCTCCAGGGAGTCTCCCGTCTCTCTCCAACCTTGCCATAGGGGCGTTGGTACTACAGACACGGACTACACACTGTTACATCGGGCTTTGGGGTGTTCCTGAGATTTGAACTCGAGTCCTCACACTTGAGCAGTAAGCACCGGATCCACCAAGTCATCTCCTTAGCACTGCGATATTTTTTTTTCAATAAAGATTAAATCATATGAGAGCTGCAGAGATGGCTCAGCGGTTAAGAGCGCTGGCTACTCTTCCAGAGGACCCGGGTTCAATTCCCAGCACCCATATGAGGCAGATCCCAGGGATCTGACGCTTTCTTCTGGTCTCCGAAGACTCCTGCACTGACATGCGCATATCCACACACATCTACGTGTAATTAAAAAAAAAATTTTTTTTCCGAGACAGGGTTTCTCTGTGTAGTTTTGGTGACTGTCCTGGATCTTGCTCCCTAGACCATGCTGGCCTTGAACTCACAGAGATCCACCTGGTTCTGCCTCCCAAGTGCTGGGATTAAAGGCGTGTGCCACCACCACCCCTCGACTTAATCTTTTTGAAAAAATTATTTTAACTGGGGTGGTGGTGGTGGTGGTGGTGGTGGAGCACACCTTTAATCCCAGCACTCGGGAGGCAGAGCCAGGCAGATCTCTGTGAGTTCAAGGCCAGCATGGTCTAGGGAGCAAGATCCAGGACAGTCACCAAAACTACACAGAGAAACCCTGTCTCAAAAAAACAAAAACATGCTGGGCGGTGGTGGCGCACGCCTTTAATCCCAGCACTCGGGAGGCAGAG